TAAACAAGCAATTAAAGGTTTATGCCCTTGTCAACTGTATAAAAAATTATTTTCTAAAATTTCTTTGTTTATATATATATATACATATTTTTATGTTTACATCCACAATTTTTTGTAGATGAGCACTGATGATGGCGTTATCTCGAAATTGCTTTGCATTTAAAATCAGTAAATAATTCTGCACGAAATAGAAACCTTTTTTTTGCTAATTGAGGTATAATCAAGAAAATCTCTAGATCGCTGAATACCTTAGAAACTAAAATATTAATTTTTGAAAATGCGATAATGCTTTTTTATTTTACTTCTCTAAAATAATGTTAATTTTTAAAATTTATTATTTGTTACTGAAAATCTGTCATAATATCAAAATATTCTGTTATATTTACACCTAAAGCTGCGTGAGGTAATGATACCTCTGAAAACCATAAATTATGAGTTACTGTTCCATCTTCGACTTTCCTAATGGAACTATGTTTCATAAATTACTATCCGATATTGAGAAATTTTGCGTCAAAATGTTGGAAGTTTCCATAACAGAAGATAATGGAAATTTTACGTGTTCACACGCTCAAATTACATAGCAATATATTCGCCAGAGTTTATCTACTGGTATACAGTTCAGGCTTCTGAGATTCAAACATAAAGTTAGTAAATATTCAAAAACCTGGTCTTTCTATTCAATTTTATTTGGTTTCTTTTCAGGAAAATTGTTTATGTGGGTTTTAGGGAATTCATAGAATCAAAAACATTAATTTGTTAGGATTACTACAACCGTTGCCTCAATTTTTAATGGACAATGATTGTATGTCGTCTACTATTTCACTAATTAAAATGAGTAAGTAATCAATATCGGTACACTGATGAACATATATTTCATATTCGTACACATGTGAATATGAAATTCAATAATACACTATTTATAAAAATAAAAATTCAGCGGGCCACAACTCTTTGAAATACCCTGTATATAGTCAAAATTTCAACCTTGAGCTGAAACTTTATACCAATCTCATTTCTTAGCCAATTGGTTACTTTTGGAAGGGTTTCCCTTCAACAAAAATCGAACAGTGAGTTTTGTGATCACCATATTCGCCTGAATTATCGCCCAGTCACTTATTTTGACAAATAAAATGCGCGACGAGCATTTTTCATCGCCTAAAAAGGCCGTTAAAGAATTTAAATCACTTCAAAGTGGAAAAAGATTGGATTTGTCAGATGCAATAATATTTATATAGATATTAAAGAGGAATATTTTGATTATAACATAACTTCTGTTTTGTTTTACCATTTACCGCAAACTTTGACAAGCTCAAGTGTAAGAAACTTATAAAAACTATTTGAAATCTGTTGAAAATAATATCATTACTAATCCAGAAAATTTCTGGTCTTACATTTAACAAAAAAAAAGGTAACACGAGAATTCCTGGAAAGGTATTTTACAATGAAAATGTTTGATATTGATATTCTTTTCAACACATGTATGATATACTTTTCAGTATATGGTTTAATTGACTTTCTCATTTAAAAAAGACGTTTTTTTAAGGATTTTGTGTGTGATCGTAGGAAAAATAGTGTACACAACTCGTTGGAAAGTGTATTTTTTGCATTCGTTTAGTTAAACTTTAACTCGTGCGAAATGTTGCACTTTCCACACTTGTTATATAATTTACTATTATTTATCAATCATTAAATTATCTTTATAAAATTATTGAAAATCCTCGTAAAAAACCTAAACATCAAATTATTTATTTCCTAAATAAAGCCAACCCTGTCAATATTCTTCCAATTTATAGTTAAAGCTATAATCATAAATAACAATATTACCGATAAAAGCGAACAAAGAAAATGTTTTTTGACTGATTAAAGTAAAAGGTCAATAGGTACATAAAATTGATTTCTTTTTTCAAAGAAAAGTGAGCTCTACCTACGATTTTTGAAATATTAAATGGCACTAAAAAACGCATTATCTAGAGTTGAAATTAATAGTAAAAAAACTATGTTTACCAAATTGATTTAACACGCAATGCAGTGAAAGGAATGATAGTTTGTTATAGAAAGAAATAATGTCTCAAATTGGAACCATATGAAAAACTTTTTATTATTGGTTTTGTGAAAAAAATTATTCGTGATAAAAAGTTCTGCATGGCCCAAAACTTAAAATGCAATCAACAGATATCAATTTTTTTAAGCAGTATACGAGGTATGTCAAAAAATATGATTTTTGCTAAAGACTATCTTTATTTTTGACAAACTTGGTATACGACTGATAAAATTTGATATCCGATGGTTGCATTTTAATTATAAATATCAACATAATATAACTCATAAATTATTTTTACCTACGTTAATGGCAGTCGTTAGTCTTTATACGCAAAATAAGTAATAAATACATACATACATACACTTTAAAAAAATATTTAAATACCTAATCTTTTTAGATGTAAGACGTATACTAACTACATTTTGTGAATATTTTAATCCAGTTTTTATTAAAGGTATACCAAGTTATATATTGTAAGACTTTCAATTATTAATTATTTATTTAAGACAACTCGCTTGTCTTCCACCATCCTGTCATCTTTCCTCGCTTTTCGGAAACCACGTCCCGTGAGAACTATCAAATGTCAGATGTCACGTCAAGTGCCAAGGATATTTCCGGGCGGCAAATTCAAATTTAAAAATTAAGTTTCTACAATATTGTGAACATAATGGACACTTTTATGATATAATTAGATTATATTTGCTTAATAATCATTTTTAGTTTATAAATAAGAGCAAAACCTTATTATTACTGTTATTTGAGGTAGCTTTAGTGTAGGCTTGAGTCCAGAGTTGTCTTAAATATCCATTTAAGTGTATTTTTACTTAAACTAGAAGTTACAGAGACTGTAGCTTTACAAAATATCAAAAATTGTGAACAATTTTCATCTTATTTATTAAGAATAGAAAGATCTATGTCTAATAGAAGTAATAATGACAATAATTACAAAAAGAGTTATAATAATACCAATTATAATCAAAATAGGAGTGGTAATTACTACCAACATAATGGTATAAATAATAATAGGGGTAATTTTAATAATAATTATCCAAGGGATACAAATTATAATAGAAATAATAATCGATACAATACATATAATAGAAATTATAATAACAATAACAACATTAATTGGAAGAATCAAAACTACAATGAAAACAGAATGGAAAGGAGTAATTCTACTTGTGATTTAGGAAGAAATGAAGATAGAGGAAGAAATGAAGATAGAGGAAGAAATAGAGTAGTGAATTTTCAACAGATAGATAGAAGGAGAGAAAATAGGAATGAAAGAGAGACAGAAGATAGAAATAGAGATGAAGTTCAAGGATTACAAAGATCGGCATCATTGGACAGAGTAGCAAATAACCAAAATTTTTAAAAGAGCATGTACTAGACAAGAACCTGTATTATTGTATATATGAGCATCCTAAAGAATTTATATTATTAGAAGAAGAAGAGAAGGTAGAAGAAATTAAATATAAATTAGTTAAAGTTAAAATGAAATTACAAGACACAGCAGTAATGGTGTTGATCGATTCAGGTTCAGAAATTTCATTGATCAATGAAAAATTTATATATAACTCGAGTAAATTAAAACAAAATATGATTCAAATACCTAAAATTAATTTAATTGGAGTAAATTCAAAAAAATTGTATGAAGCTAAGAGAATAATTATTGTTGATATAAATTATAAAAATACATTTATAAATATGCAATTTGTTGTGATTCCAAATATGATAACGGATATAGTAATGGGAAATGATTTATTAAATATAAATAAAAAAAATAATTGATTATGAAAAAAAGAAATTGAATATTAATGGTGTATGGACAGATTTTGAATTTTTTAAAAATAAATATTCCCTTTTGGAATTTATAAGTACCATGCATAACTTTTGTAAAGATTAAAATTGTTAAGCAGACACACTGTGTATTTACAGTTATTTAGCAGGACCCTATTTTTCTTTCAGAATAAATAAAAACGTTTGCAGCAGGCAATAACAAACCTAGATTGCGATTTCAAGAGATAAACGAATGGGACAAGAGGCAGCAAACTCGTTCGAGCAAGCGACAAAAACAACTTTTTTTTTGAAGATAGAGCTTTTTCAGATTTTTCGTATCGCGAGATAACTATATAAAAAAGACAAATAAATCCAACTCAGATGTGATCAAGACGTACAAATAATGAAAAATAAATTCTAAAAGCCATATTCAAGACACGACATATTGGAGCAGGGATTCCGAAACTATTTTAAATAACATTTCTACTAATTTTGAAAAATACGGAAACTGTGAATATTCTTTTCTGCTTAAATGTTTTGTATTTGAGAAATTTGACAAAATGTAAAAAATTCAAATTTTTAAGCAAATTATTCAAATAATTATTGTTCGTGATATCATTATCTGTAATTTTTATTCTAAAAAAGACATTTGTCGTGAAAAGGGACATTTTAAGCTTTAAAAAGTCGCAAGGACATTTTGCTTCAATAAAGGACTGTCCTTTTCCGAAAAAGGACAGGTGACAACCCTAATCTTGCGGTAGAATGATTAAATTTTGGCCATAGCCAAAAAATCTGGGGGATACTTTATAGAAGGTCGTTTTTCTACTTTATTGAATATATCTGTTATTAACGCTAGGAGAAGAAAATTCTTCAAATAAAAGTTGCTTGTAATCTTATTCTCTATCATTTTCTTAAAATGGTCCGTATTCGAAAAATTTTACAAAATGTGCAAAATTCTTATTTTCTTCAAAAAAATATCTTTATTTTTGACAAACCTCGTATATGACTGATAAAATTTGATATCCAATGGTTGTATTATAGGTTTTAAGCAATGCTCGACTTTTTCTAATATTAATAATAAAAAAGTTTTTCATATACCGCCAATTTACGTTATGTTGTCTTTCATGATAGGAAACTTATTAGAAAAAAAATTAAAAAAATAATGGTAAACGTTACTCACTCTTCTCTATCCTCGTCATGGTCATATCCTCGTCTTGGCCGAACCAACGAAGTACAGTCCTGGGTATGCATCTTTTGATTTTCCAACAATTTTCTTGTTTGGGTTTCTTAATGGTCTCAGGCGGTTCGCTGGCAGCCCGCAATTCAATGTCTGATATCGATTTTGAGTCGCTGTCTGAGTATTCGTAATTTATGACAGGCCGTCTTCGGCCCTTCATGCAGGCGCAATTGGCTGTTAAAAAATCCATCATTTTCTACAAAAAAAAAAAATAAAATAATTTTAAGTAATAAATGTAGACAAGAAACAATAAAAAATAAAAAACGATACAGAAATATAGTAATAAAAATCTATCTTATATTTTATAAAATTAGTTTGACTACGCTATGTCTTAAGTTTAACGCAAAACTGTAAAAAATTGCAAATATCTCATCTACATTTCAAAAAAATTATTTTAGACATTTTTAAGGCGTCTTTAAAAAGTTCAGTAAGGCTGAAAGCAGGAACTGTTTTTCAAAAAAAAATTCCATATAAAATCCATCTTCTTTCTGCCACCAGAGGGCCTCGCTAAATATATTTTGCCCACATCCAATTTAGGTCTTGCACCGCCATGAAAAGACTTAGAGGGACTAAACAACAAAGTACACGTAAGTTCCATGTGAATGACCAAGGTGAAAATCGACAACTGACATTTCCTATGCTATTTACTCCAAACACTAGATGGAGCTACTAGTGAAAGTCGACCAAGTAATTCATTTATATATCGTTTTGTTTTTACTTTTTGAAATTTAAATTTAAATAAAACATTGAACAATCGTCTTCATGATTTAATAATCCATAATACAGGCAACTAAGTACAACAAAAATAATCAATTTTCAAGTATAAAAATAGTTTTCTGTAAACAGGTATTTATAGAATTTTTATTCCTCCCTAGTAATCCAAGCTGACTAAGCCTAATTTATTAAGAAATCAATACTAATTAGACTGGCTTTAGAAGGGTCCGCTACATGGCATTTAAACAAAACAGAATGGAATTTGAATAGGAATTTCGAGTTTTGGGACTCGAAATTAGTTTTGAGAAAACGTATGTGAGCGAATGGAACTAAATGTTGTTTCAAATAGTCCATTATACGTTTCGGGTAGACAAAATAAAAGCCGGGATACGACTGATAATTCACGAAGTAACTTTATTTTGACTTCAGTGGAAAGTTTTAACTCTAATGTTTACGATTTGTATAGCATTAACTGTGCTCGCTAGTTCATACGCGTAGATGATGATAATTTGGTGCGCTTTAGGGTTTTTTTCTTATTCTTCTAGATTTTGTAATCTATTGTTTGGATGGTCCCTTAACCCGAGCCGATTTCTGGGAAAGCAAAACATCATAAACCCGGCGGTCAACAGAAAAGGGTGGTTCAATCAGTGGGACAACTATTTGGATGGACAGATTATCGAACATCGTTGAGGAATGCAGTCGATTTCTTTTGTTAGGACTATGTTATTCCATTTGTTTTAATAATTATTATTTTTGTAACATTATTTTAATATTGATAAACTTCATACGTAAAATAAACATTTAATTGTTTGTGAAGCTTACAATTTATTTGTGAATCGAGCCCTCTGGTTTTGATGGTTTACAGAAACGAATTGTGTCTCATTATTTAAAAATATATAGATACAATTCTTTATTTTTTACTATAAATAAACAGTAATTTAAAAATTAATAATTTCATGATGTTATGACTTATAATGACTTATAACTTACAATAATTACATAATTATTCATAAACACCAGGCAATTAAAAAGCTTTTGGTTGATTATATCTAGCTAGTCTATTTGAAAAACATTTATATTTGTTGCAACATGCAAGTATACGAGTATTTTAACCACGAATTCATTAAAACCTCATTTGTAAATTAAAAACAACAGTGAAGAGCGCGGGTAATCCAAGCGTTTGCACTGCACCATTTACTATTTGATGATTAAAATTAAATTTAAATGATGAGTTTATCCTTAAGGACGCCACAGCACTTTTAGTGCTTGATAACATGATTTCTCATAATGTTTACGATTTTCATTATATACACTTATTCTTTAATGTACAATATTAATGAAACATCCTGTATTAGGGTGTCTAGTATATCGCTGTCCCAGTTCAAAACAATAACATCTCAAAAATTTTAGGGTTTGAGATTAAAATGTATTCTTAGCAAGAAGGGCAAGGTCTATTACAATAATTCAACACTGTAATATCGCAAAACTTTTATTTTTCTATTTATTTTAATAATAAATTAGATTGAAAGTATTTCGACGCCTCCGACCGTTGCGTCGACGCGACTGCAACAAACGTTCGTGAGCACCAGCCCTTAAAATGCGGATGTTATTTAATCTTAAAAATCTGAACCATTTATCACGATATTTGTATTAAATATGTTAAAATACTCGATAGGCATTTCTTACTAAAGTTAATAAACTCGGATTGTATGATGTATCATTTATAAAAGTATTTAAAATGCCTATGTCGTTGAGACATCGAAATATCGATTTTAATTGTTTTATTATAACTCACTAATAAAAGGTATAAAAATAAAAAATCTATAAAGGTAACCCTTGACAATAACATCCTTCGATAATATACATAATATCGCACGTTACAGATAGCCTGACCGCCTGTTTTACCACGCAACGAAATAAAGTAGAATTTCTAAAATAAACGAAGTCTATCAGCTGATGCCAATGCCGGGCTATTTTTAACTACTTAACAGAAAATCCAAAGATTTATATGAATACACAACAAATTCCTTTAATTCACTGCCGTACTAAATGGAAAAACTTTAATATTCAATAGTAATTGATTGGAAAATTAGATGAAAAGTTTTCAATTCATTTAATTGATATAAAACTATAAAATTTACTGAATATAAATATTGTTTTCAGATGAAATGATTAATAGAATATAATAGAATAAATAGTTTTTAATACATTGTGTTATTAGTTATTAGGAATAGAAAGGAAATGTTTGTTGTTGAAATAAAAACAAAATACAAACAAAATATAAAACCATTATTTAGAGAAGAATTTATAAAAAAAAAATAGAAAAAATGTGTAAAAAAAGTATAAAAAAAAACAATTTAAAAATGTATAAAAAATAAAGAAATAAAAGATATACTAAAATGTTAAAAAAATAATTAGATAAATAATTTCAAACTTACATATGACCAAAAGCTTCACAGTTCTAGAATAATTTAAAAATTTTGTCTGATTGCTTAGATACATCCTATCTATCACTAAGGAGTACTTCAAGGTAGCGTACTAAGTCCAGTACTCTACTTGTTGTATACCAACATTTGGTGATGATACTGCAATCCTGGCTGTTGGAGAAAATCACGTAGACTTCGATAGAAAATTGCAAAATTTTGATTAACACCTAGACGAAGGTTCATATCAATTTCAGCAATAAACAAAATGAATATATTTCTATTAGAACAAACGACACTCAGATTCTTTTTACCAATACAACAATACATTTGAGTATGACACTTGATGCTGGATTTCGCTGGAAAGTCTATATTAAAAGGTGGCAGAAAATCTCAACCGGCTTTTCTCCTGTCTCAATGCAGTTAACTAAAGTTTGATATATAGCATGTATAGTAGTTTGAGTTAACCTTTTTGCTTGTAAGGTTAGAAATATGTATATTAGCGGGTAAACAAATTTTTGTGTGATTACTAACTATAGTACTGTAGAAAACATCGGCCGTCAAGAGCGGGGAGTGCGAAGAACTGTTGCTTACCATCCGCGCTCCTCCAGGCAGAACAATCTGAGTCGCCTTGAGTGTCTAATGTGATCAGCTGTTGTTTTCTGATTTTCACGCATTTTGTTTTATCGGTAATCACTTGCTAACTAAATAAATATTTGACTTAATAATTAATAAAATGTATAAAGAGGATTCTAATGTCGAAACTTCAGGTTTGCAATAAGTTTTATTTTAACATGAAATTTATTTTTCTCTATAATTACGTTGGCACTATCAGTGGCTGATGTTATAGAAATTTGCAATATCTCTCTTATCAATAGAGGATACTTTATTTTTAGTACAAGTAGTACAATATAATAAGAACAGTGGCACGTGCTCTTTGATGCAGTTGTGTTTGCTATTTTTTATTAGGAGTTGGCCATGCATACTTCAAATACTTCTCATGTATCACTTCAAATAAAAACTAAAAGAAAGTTTCTTTTGTTGTAGCAAATATGTACGACCCGATTTATATTTGAATAAAGCTGTCGGATTTTTCATATATTAAAGTCAATCCTTGAAATGTACCCGTTGACATTTTTCCGAATACGCGAATTCAGTCTTTTTACTTCGAAATGAGATTCGCTTGTAGTAAAAACGGTTGAAATAAAGGCGCTTCAATACAGAATTCAGCTGGAGATCGACCGCTATTGAGACTAACGTTTCCAAGCTTTCGACAGTCATGAAAACTATAAGTTGTTTATTTTATTCTAAATGGATTTAAATCAAACTGATCGAATTTTTTTGTAAATGGGTCGTTTAGGAGAAAAATATATATTTATAACTTCTATTAGAAAAAACTAAAAAAAAACTACACTTTTTTTACTATTGAAAATGCTTTATAGCCAAGATTTTATTGTTCTATAGAATAGCAGTCCTTTTTTACATTCATTGAAATCTTCAATCAAGTTATAACTTAATTAATAGCTTTTTAAAGTTGGTAGCACATCAGACGCACTTATACTCAAGCTAGTAAAAAATAAAGAAAACTGCCTCAATTTTCTGTGTCTTTTGCTCTTCTTAGCAATATTTCTGCCTTTACTAGGGTAAATATTCTTGGTTTTCCACTTTTTAAGAAATTTAGACAATTGGCATTTGACTATAGTCTTCTATATTATGTAGATATTAAAAGTAAGAAGGTGTAATTCAAGTTATTCTTGTGAAACGTATAAAAAAGTGTGCTTTCTCAGTCAACAAAAAAATATTTGTAAGCAATGTTTATAATTGCCTAAGAATGGAAAATCCTTCGTTTTCTGTTAACGATACTGTTGAAAAGACAAGTAATATGATGGATGTAAGCAAATCCTCTAATAACCGAATAAACACAAAAATAAAACATCTTACAACTCAGAACACATTCAACTTAAATTGAATACCAAATATTTGAATGTTTTCTAACATTCAAACTAGAGTAACTCAAAGGAGTAAATCAAGAATTTCCTTCACGATCCCAAAAGTTTTT